AATATGGTTGGTCTAGTGTCAGAGACAATATGGTGGGTCTAGAGTCAGAGACAATATGGAGGGTCTAGAGTCAGAGACAATTTGGTGGGTCTAGAGTCAGACACAGTATGGTGGGTCTAGAGTCAGAGACAATATGGAGGGTCTAGAGTCAGAGACAATATGGTTGGTCTAGAGTCAGAGACAATATGGAGGGTCTAGAGTCAAAGAGACAATATGGTGGGTCTAGTGTCAGAGACAATATGGTGGCTCTAGAGTTGGAGACAATATGGTTGGTCTAGAGTCAGAGACAATATGGAGGGTCTAGAGTCAGAGACAATATGGAGGGTCCAGAGTCAGAGATAATTTGGTGGGTCTAGAGTCAGACACAATATGGTGGGTCTAGAGTCAGAGACAATATGGAGGGTCTAGAGTCAGAGACAATATGGAGGGTCCAGAGTCAGAGATAATTTGGTGGGTCTAGAGTCAGACACAATATGGTGGGTCTAGAGTCAGAGACAATATGGTGGGTCTAGAGTCAGAGACAATATGGAGGGTCTAGAGTCAGAGACAATATGGAGGAGAGACAATATGGTTGGTCTAGAGTCAGAGACAATATGGAGGGTCTAGAGTCAGAGACAATATGGTGGGTCTAGAGTCAGAGACAATATGGAGGATCTAGAGTCAGAGACAATATGGAGGGTCTAGAGTCAGAGACAATATGGTTGGTCTAGAGTCAGAGACAATATGGAGGATCTAGATTCAGAGACAATATGTTGGGACTAGAGTCAGAGACAATATGAATTTCACTTCTCTACTTAAGAAAAAGAAAATGTTTCACAATAAATTAGCAGTTCATTTATAGACCTTAAAAGTTGCAGCTTATACAATCTTTACTATTCAATGGTTGTTGTCACAGTCTCAGCGTTTTTTAAATTTTGTTCAACTTTCAATAAATTAAATTGAAAAATTTCTGGTAAGGACACTTAAAGGTGTGTTAATAAGCTTTTGATAAAATTTTGCATTCTGTGACCATATAATTATAAGGCAACAAGCCCATGTTTGTTAATAAGCCCATTCAAGTTGATGTATGTGACCCACAGTCAGTAAAAACTCTGTAATGTATAGTTATTTTTGTTGGATTTTTAAGGCATGTCTGGAAAACACCATTTCCCAAACTTTGATGAGTTCCAATACTCAGAGATATAGTAAGATCTTAAAAACTTAAAAACAAGTCCCACAGGCAAAGCATTAGTATAGGACTCAAATTTCTGTGTCCTTAAATCATAGTGTCCTGTAGTGATGAAATCTACCAATCTCTTTATGTGTTGGTTCCCTGGGCTTATTTAAGGATAGATATGGTAACCATTTTAACAATTTGGAGCAATGCTACAGCAAATTAGACAAGATATATTATAACTATGTTAAGTGTGAATTACTAATTACTTCAGTAATATTGTTAGAACAGGTACCTATACTAGTCATAAGACTGGTGCCATTGTATTGTGTATCGTGAATGTCCGTGCAGCAACAGGAATCACTGTAACATATTTCACCTAATAAGTGCCCTCTGCCCATATGAATTGTCCAGACTTCCCATTCTTGATTTATCAAATTTAAGCCATCTTCGTAAAAGAGTAAAAGTATTTAGCATGTTCTATTAAACAATTTTAAAAATGGTGAAATTATTTTACATTTTTCATCAATTTAAAGGGTAACAGTATGTCATATCAGATAAATATCTTTAGTGCTGATTGTAGAGGACTAGTTATTGTAAACCATTTATAGAAAAAAAAACAAGAAAATACTTCTAGAAGTGTCATTGATGGTTGTAATTATTTCAACAAATTTTCATGAATGTCAAATGAAATCATTCAAACAAAAACAGATAAAAAACATCACAAACTTCAAGGTTGCTTTCTTACAACAGAATTTTGTGAATGTTGTAGAAGTTTCATTCATGCTGAAAGAAGTCTGACTCTCGGGCTACTGTCATTACACCACAGAGTCAGACTCAGGGGGCTACTGTCATTACACCACAGAGTCAGACTCAGGGGGCTACTGTCATTACACCACAGAGTCAGACTCAGGGGGCTACTGTCATTACACCACAGAGTCAGACTCAGGGGGCTACCATCATTACACCACAGAGTCAGACTCAGGGGGCTACTGTCATTACACCACAGAGTCAGACTCAGGGGGCTACTGTCATTACACCACAGAGTCAGACTCAGGGGGCTACTGTCATTCACCACAGAGTCAGACTCAGGGGGCTACTGTCATTACACCACAGAGTCAGACTCAGGGGGCTACCATCATTACACCACAGAGTCAGACTCAGGGGGCTACCATCATTACACCACAGAGTCAGACTCAGGGGGCTACCGTCATTACACCACAGAGTCAGACTCAGGGGGCTACCGTCATTACACCACAGAGTCAGACTCAGGGGGCTACCATCATTACACCACAGAGTCAGACTCAGGGGGCTACCATCATTACACCACAGAGTCAGACTCAGGGGGCTACCATCATTACACCACAGAGTCAGACTCAGGGGGCTACCATCATTACACCACAGAGTCAGACTCAGGGGGCTACCATAATTACACCACAGAGTCAGACTCAGGGGCTACCATAATTACACCACAGAGTCAGACTCAGGGGCTACCATCATAATACACCACTGATACTGTTTGTTACTAATACTTGTGTATAACAAGTCAAGGACGATTCTACATACCAGTTACATTGCAGAATCTGGTGAAGTGGAAGTAGGGGTACAGTGTACTTCCTTTCTCTGACAGTATTCTGGTAAGAATCCAGTTATACCCCTTACTATGTGTATTTGTGTGAATTTTATTGCTCAATCTAAAGAGTCTCACCCATATTCTATAACAACATGCCAGTTAGCTGAACGTCGGCTTGTTTTCTATGTTTTGTGTTGAGAGTAACAAGTCCTAATGTTTCTAAGCATTTCATTCATATTTTTTAACTGTACTTTTTAACCTTTTCGTGATATGGAGAATGAAGTTTTAGAGCTCCATGATCAATCATCAATAATTACCGTCTTCCTGTTCCGATCAGACAGAAGCTGCTGACCCTGCTCTACAACACAATGATGAGATTGTTCATCTATAACATCATCAATACTCAGACAGACCCCATATTGAGAACTGAACCGTGTGAACACGTCAGGGATAAAGCTATTTTAAGCTGGGTGCTGTAGAATTAGGCTATTAAATTCTGATGCCTGCTGACCTTACTTGAAAGCCGTAAATCATCTTTCTGTAAAATATATATTGGTAGTACTTTTAGAATTATTGTGTTGGTAGTGTGCCGATGATTTCTTTCATTTTGGTTGTCATAGTAATAGTAAGTAATTATGTTAAGCAATGTCCTTTTTAATAGGGCTTGTTATAAATGTAAGTATGTTTAATGGGGAGTGATGTCCCCTGATGTTCCTTAAAATGGGTTAACTTTTATATCTGTTTTCTACAGAGTGATATCCTCTGGTCGTCATTAAAACATGTTTACTATCGGAAGGTCAAAGGTCTCTGTTACCATAAATAGAATTTTCACTTCTGGGTAATAACTTGGGTTCCCTTGGAATCAAACACAAACACATTTTAGGAATGCTTTATGGATTATTGTATAAGTAAAATAAGTAGATATTTTGTTATGAAGTTGAATTAACAAGAATCAAATTAGAAGTCACCTTTCTAAGGGTCAAGGGAAACTTTTTTCGGTCATTTTGGATTTGACAGGTATAGATTATCATCACTATTTCTGCAAAGGATCGTTCAAATGTCTCAGTATAAGAGCAAAACCAGAGAAGTTAAAAGAACGGAAAATATCCAACTTTCAAAGAGCATATAAAGATCAAACAATGGTTGGCACCAAGATTCCTTTGGGATCTCTTGTAATCAATCTGACCTTTCATTTTTGAAGTTAAAATTTAGGTCATGGACACTGTTCCTGTAAACAGATTTTTTTATTGGACACAATAACTTCAGTTTTGCTCAATAATTCTCCTGAACTCCTGATCCACTTAAAAAATAGGAAATAGTCTCTAGACATTTAGTCGATTGGGGGCATTATTATTGGGCAGTATCTTGTTAATATTGACACCCACGTATGGACGTGAATCAATATCAATGCTTGGCCAGGTTGCTTAAGCACTACTGTTCCCCTGTAACTCTAGGACAAGATTTTTCCTGCAGGAGGAATTTGTGACACTATGGTAAAATACACAAGTTGCTTTTTACCAATTTGGTAGAATTAATCTTGAGCTTGTGTGGTAGAGTACAAGTGTAGAAAGCCAGAGGTGACCAGGCATGGTTCTTACTTCATGGAGTTATTGATAAAATGATTCTTTTGCAAATGGATCTTAAAGGAATATTCTACACAAGTTAGGATTTCGTAGGATGCTTTTAAAGAAAACTGTACAAAATCATCTACTTATGTTCTTATGGAAAACATACACTTATAAGTTTACCATGTGATATTTGATTTGGAGAAATTTTCTAGTTAGATTGATTAACAAACGTTCGCACAACCCTGATTGTGTCGTAACAGGTTTGCCTTGTTATAAGCCAAACAGAATGAAATATTTGTGTTAATTACAAAATCATCAGAAAATAAGCCTGAAGAAGTGATAAGTAATCCCAGTAGATCTTTTAGTGACCAGTATACATACTTGTGTGTTTACCCTATGTTCTGTTCTGTATAAAATCTACCCATGTTCTTATCTGTGATTCAGTGAACGTTCAGTTCTGGATTTCCCTATGCACTGCAATTACAAGGTTTGACTGGAAGTATTCGCATCATTTTCACCTTTCCAAAGTGACAACAGAAGAGATATTTTAATGCCAATAATTGTTTTTAAAAGTCATTAGAACAAGTTCTTAAATGGTACAGAAGAGTAAGAAATTTTGCCAAAGCCAGAAACTGAAAATTGGACAGAATGTCCCTTTAAAACCTTCTACCATTTCAAAAGGTCCTTGACTTTTTTCTATTGACAGGAATCAGCTGCGACGGGTGTTTGACTTGCTGTATGAAGTTAACCTCCTTGATAGTAAAGATGCTTCCAATCTCCAGCTGCTTGGACGACCTGATCTTAATGTTACCTTCACCAAGTTCCACTGTTGGCGACTCACCATGTATGACAAAGCCGTCTTCCTTGATGCTGATACCTTAGTAAGAAGTTTACTTGAAAATAAAAAAAAAACATAAAAATTGACAGTATAATGATCTTGACTCCATACTTTTCATTTGGGAGGGAAACTCCCATTTTTAACTTGAATTTAATGAGTTTTTCGTTAAGTCTTTTGTATAATTTCAGCGATCTGACAAGTCTATCAAAAGTGTGGTTTTATTATATTAATTTCTGGTTAATTTGTCATCATGTCTGTATTTGGATTTTATGACCTGCGTCACATTCAATGTGGACATTTTTTAAAAATTAGTCAGGGATGCATTTCTGTATCATAGAATTTATATAGAATCAAAGTTCAATAACTAAAGGTGACAGGACCAACTTTGAGGTCATATACAATGAATTTGGTTCTCTAAAAATATATTCTGGTAGTCAGTTCATGCATGATGATAGCCACAACCTATTGCTAGAGAATTTTCAATCTACTACTCCTGTTAGAAGTCTACCTTCTGAGAGTCAGAGATGTTGGCCTCCTGGGAATAAATATGGTAACGTTCTAAAGTGCTACTAAACATGTTAGAAATCTATCAACACGAAGTTCATCATCCTGTGAACAGCCAGGGTCAGTACCTTAGAGCCCCAAGGGTAAAATGTCTAGCCCAAGGACACAACCATGTCAGCACAAACCAGTTGTGTTCTCAGCTCCATGAGAAAGACAAACTGCCACTCAAAGTCATGGTGTGGGCCTACATCAAGACAATGAAAGGACACTTATTGTAATTCTACAAAACAGCAATATGTATTGATTGGCTTATTACCAGGATTTGACTGATTGCCAAATAAATAGGGTAACATGATCCAAAATGGCATATTGACCAGGAAAACAACCAGGTCATATAGTGAAAACTTCTTTCATTATCAGTGCTCTATGTATCAATACTTTAAGGAGTGCCTCTAGAGTTTCTGACAGTATCAGTATTTAATTGTATGATGAATTTAAAAAATCAAGTGAGGAATATCAATCACTACAGCTTCAGATTGAGCTCTTTGGATTTTTATTAACCATCCACCAGTTTTGCCCTTTCCGGGCTTCATCAGGACCATTGCCCTCTCCGCGTTTCATCAGAACCATTGCCTTTTCTGGGTTTCATTGAGACCATCGCCCTCTTTGGGCTTCATCAGGACCATCGCCCTCTCCAGGCTTCATCTGGACCATCACCCTCTCCGGGCTTCATGAGGACCATCACCCTTTCTGGGTTTCATCAAAACCATTGCCCTCTCCGGGCTTCATCTGGACCATCGCTCTATTTGGGTTTCATCAGGAACATTGGTCCAGCCAGAGAGGGTGAAACTGATTGACAGTTAGTAATAAATCAAAACAGAACTCACTCTGATGCTATTGTGATTGATATTCCTCACTTGATTTTCCTGACTACTCAATCACCCTGCATACTCTCGGGTATCCAGCTGCAGAGTAAAGGACCCCACGACCCAGCCAACAGCACGAACGCCATTGACTCTATTAGTAAATCCTTCATGAATTTAAAAAGTAATGTTTAGAATTTCTTAATGCTATCAGTGTGTTGTCAGTGTGTAAAACATTACTTATACAGGTAATCCTACGTGACAAACATGATAAATATGTCATGTATCAGTGGAAAATCTGTCTGGCAAAATTTCAAATGAGCTGATTTGTAAAAGAGTTTACAATTAATATTTTTTTAGTTATTGTAATACTATATTTCTGTTGATATTCAATATCCAAATCAACCAACATATACAAATATAAATTACATAGACTGTCCTATTGTCTTGTTAGAAAGGATTCCATCCCTATCTAATATTCATTTAAAAAAAATATTCATTTTATATTAAAATAGATTAAAGCCTTTTCTTGAAGCATTTCATGAATATAAAGTCGGGACATACTACACTTGATATATAAAGTTTGTATTGAACAATTTGTGAGGAAAAAACTTATGATTACATTAAAATACAGTTGAGCCTTGTTACCTCAAACTCTTATAACTCGAAGCGTTCCGTTGGTCCAGGCCAATTTTCACATAACATTCAAACCCACTTAAATCCAGTACTGTGATAACTTGAGGCTTTTCTGTGTAACGTTAAATGTTAGATCTGCATCCTTCCTTAATATGTTACAAAATACATATGACTTTAATACCATTTTGTGATTTGATAATTATTCTGATGATTGTCACTGAACAGATAGTGGTAGAAATAACTTCGCTATTTCAGGAAATAGTGTTTTTTAACCAGTGATGGCCTTTCTGTAAAACATTTGATCTGAAAATACTTTTTACAATAAAATTTATAGAAAATTGACAAAACATGTTGTACTATAGAACTTGTAGTCCTATGGCACTGGTAGGAGTTAAAAAAGTTTGTTTGTTCAGACAGTTGGTAGTTTTGCAATTTTCAGTGATGAAATATAGTGTAACATAAATACAGTAAAAAAATCATATCACGATTTCCTTTAAAAATCATTTTTACTTCAAAATTTCGAAAAATATATGAAAATTTGAACCATTGAAAAAAAAGAAATTTTCACTATCAAGTAATAGTCATTTCCTATGGTTTTTGGTTATGTTACTCTCAACAGACATTAGTAAATACAGAATGTTCACTTTTTCCTTACAGGTCCTTAAAAATGTTGATGAGTTGCTTGACAGAGAAGAACTATCTGCAGCCCCTGATGCTGGTTGGCCAGACTGTTTCAACTCTGGGGTGTTTGTATTCCGACCTTCTGAGGAGACCTATAACAGTCTGTTAGATTTCGCATTAGCTAAAGGAAGTTTTGATGGTAAGTGGAACATATTTAAATGATGTTGTTAAAGTTTTATTTAGTTTTAGGCCGAAGTCAAAGTCGTTGTTACTGTAAGCAGTAAAATAATCTCAAATCAACATTCGCAAAATTAAATCCTCGTAAACTAGCCCGAAATTGGTCAACGCAAAAATATACTACATGTTTGCTGTGTAATAGGATAATTTGACAGCTTTGTGAATGATTGTAAAATGGTTCTCATTTGTAGAGATATTCTTTATTTTACAGGTGGTGACCAAGGGTTACTTAACATATACTTCAAAGACTGGGCAACCAAAGACATAGCAAGACATTTACCTTTTATATACAATGTAGTGTCACAAGCCTTCTATAGTTACTTACCAGCATTTACACAGTAAGTAATACTTCATTGTAGGTGTCACAAACCTTAGTTACCTACAAAGTAGGTAACACAGTAATTCACTGTATATTTATGTTAAGATTGAGAGTTTACACTGTCTAATTCCTTTTATAGACAGGGACTCTTTCCACACAGTGTAACTTTCTTCAATTACTTGTCAATTAAGAAACATTTTGTTGTTGTTGTTTAATGGTGTGTAAACTGCATTTTTTAACAGATATTGTAAATGACACATGTTATGCTGATATAATAAATCATCTTTGAAAAAAAAAATTTTTGTTTGCAAATCAGTAAAAAAAAAGGGGGGAAAAATTTCTTATTTACATTTTAACAATTATTTTTTTGTTTGTTAAATGCACTGATGGAACATTTACCAAAGCCTTAACATCAATTTGTTGGTAAGGTTTAAAAGGGAATTCACACCAGAAATGTAAATATTTACAGCTATTTGTTGGAAATATTTACCAATGTTTGATTGCCTATGGAAGTGTTGTTGAATTCATGGAAAAAATATAAAATCTACCATAATGATTGTAAATTATTTGAAACCCTAAATATTCCTTAAATTGCAAATCTGTTCTTTTTTTCAGATTTAAACAAGATGTGAAGATCGTACATTTTATAGGTGCCACAAAACCTTGGCATCACCCTTACAACACCTCCACAAAGACAGTTCAGCCCCTCCCTGATTCAGGTCATAATCAGGACTTCTTACAGCTGTGGTGGGACATCTTCATGTCCCAGGTCCAACCTGCTCTTGACCCGTCAGTGGTGAGTGTACAGGGGGATTAGGGATAAGCTTTATTTATCACCTTAAAAATGATGGGACACATCCTAGGCTAAACCTCTAACAGTCAATGATGAGGGTACAGGGGCAGGGAATAACGGTGTCAGAAGACGGAGGCTATCTGCAGGTACTCTGTGATTGTACAGTTGGGGAATAACAGTGTTACGAGTCAGGAGGTTATCTTCAGCTACTCTGTGAGTGTACAGTTGGGGAAGAATAGTGTTAAGAGTCAGGAGGTTATCTTCAGCCACTCTGTGTGTGTACATGAAGTTGGGGAATAACGTAAGAAGTCAGAGGCTATTCGCAGCCACCCGCTGAGTGAACAGGGAGTCAGGGAATAATAGTGTTAGGAGTCAGGAGGTTATCCACAGCCACTAGGTGGTAAGTGTAAAGGGGTCAGGGAATAACTGTGTAAGAAGTCTGAGGTTATCCTCAGCAACTGAGTGAGTGAACAGGGAGTCGGGGAGTAACAGTATTAGGAGTTGAAAACTATCTTCAGCCACTCAGTGAGTGAACAGGGAGTCGGGGAGTAACAGTGTTAGGAGTCCTAAACTGCCCACCTTTGGTGGTGGATGTAAGGGGTGAGGGAAGGAATATTACAGGGCTGTATTATCTTCATTGAAACATCTTGGTGTTTGGAATGGGCTTGTCAATTGTACTTACTATCTTAAAATTTACAAGTCTAGACTTGTTCATGTTGTAAGTCCCAATTACAACCAAAGCCTCATTTGTCTGTCATTAGAGGGCAGAGAATTATGGGTCTTTACAACTTCTGTGCATTGTTTGCCATAGGAAAAGATAACTTTCTCTTAACATTAACCTTTTACATTTCAGTATTTCTTCGTTATGGCGTTCCAAACTAACTTGAAACACAGTTCACAAAGTTTTCATTTTGTTTTAGCATGAACCTACTAACAATTTGATCTTTTAGATTTGAACAGTTTTCTTACAAAAAAAGCAGGAATTTTAATGATTTTCTTTTTAACATCAACATTTCTAATTTCATTGAAATTGTTACTTCAGTACCACATAGCACGCCTCAGATGCTACTCCGATTTTAACCATACTTGTGAATAATTGAACGAGAAATTGTCACTTTAAGGATTAAGTACCTCTGACTGGTAACCTTTGTTGAAACAGACTGGCAATGTATGTGTTGTTGTTTAAGTTTCATATTTATCATAATGTTGGTCAGACTGGCAATGTATGTGTTGTTGTTTAAGTTTCATATTTATCATAATGTAATGATATCAGTAAAATTACTGATTATTAAGACATAATTCTCAGCTCAGATTGTATGTGTTCATGCAAAAGACTCTGTACAGAATCGTAAATTTTCTTTAATATTTGAATTTTAGATGTTTAACATCTCATGTTTTTTTACTTTCATGTTGAATTTGGATTTGTTGCATATTTTCATACTGTTTAAAATATGTATCTGTAATCATTTTATAGACTGGTAACTTAGGAAAACAGGACCAAGTTTTCTGTAGAGGGGCTTTGGATAATGCAACTAAGTTTTCTGAATACTATTGGCTAAGGATAATGGGACCAAGTTTTCTGTAAACTGGTGACATAGGACAAAGAATTTGTTTGTTTTTTTTTTTAGGCTGCTCTGGTGATTTTTCTTTTACACCAGATCTTTAAAATATAAAAAAAATAGATTTTTATGTCTTTTTGGTCAATCACTGTACAATATATTTTGATATCTACTTCAGTTTCAGCATTTTTAGCTCACCTGGCCCAATAGGCCAAGTGACCTTATGCCGTGGTGCAGTTTTTGTCGTCCGTCGTCCATCTATCTGTTGGTAGTTCAGCGTCAACCTTTTCTTTAAACAACTTCTTCTCAATAACCAATGGACAGAAAAAATTGATATTTGGCTGGTATTTTTATAGGATGCAGCCCAACAAAGTTTACGAAAAGAAGTGACCTTGCCTAAAGGTCACAGAGGTCGGATTTGTTAAATCCTTCTTCTCAAGAAATAAAGGCCTAGAGGCATGATATTTCGCTGGTATGTTCCTAGAATGATGCCGTACAAATTTGCGAAAAGAAATGACCTTGACTCATATTTAAGGTCACAGTGGTCGGATTTGTTAAAACCTTTATATAACTTCTTCTCTTGGACTAGAAGGCCTAGAAGCATGATACTTGACCGGTATATATTACCAGGTGACCAATGCAGGCCCATTGGGCCTCATCTTGTTAATATATATAATTATTTATGTATAAATTATCTTTGTTGGAATGTTCAGAGTGAAATGTTGATTCTATGTAACTAGATTCTCTCCTTGTCTGTTTTATTATACCTAATGGCTGAATGTAAAGTTTATCATTTTTTTAACTTTGATGACACCTGACAATGCTGCTTCCACCTCACTGATAATTTTTGTCTTCGCATTTTTCCTTTCAATTTTTAGTTTTCTTTTTATTGGATTTGTAGAACTCGTCATTACCACTGTTCAGTCTAAGGGACATAACTGTGGGGTTAAATGGGGATATATTTCTATTCATTTACATTAAAAATCAATTTTCAACATATATGTATATGATTGTTTTGGACTTATTATGAAAAAAATTATCCAGGATTCATGGATGTGTATCATTATCAATTGTACTTAGCCTGATCAGTGGTACTTGAGGTTGAATTATTCTGTTATCACATTGACAAGATATTTTAGAAGACAACACAAATGTATACTTATATAGTGTAAAGGATTTAAATAGCTTTGTATTGTCTGCTTGTATACAAGTTGTCTTTTGTTTGTTTTCGATAAAGTAGTTTATATTGCAGGTGATATTTTTTAGCTCACCTGGCCCAAAGGTCTGTCCGTCAATTTTTTTCACAAATCACTACTAGTCATGAGCGGCTTGGCAGATTTTGCCTGAATTTTGTCAGAAGCATCAATTGGGGAAGGGAAAAAACTAGTATAAATTGTAGGTCGCGACCCCTTGAAGTGAGGCCCAATAGGGGAAAGAGAGAAAATTCATTAAAATCCTATTCTTTTTGTAGGAATGATTGAATTTTGTCCAAATTTGGTTCAAAGCATTCTTTGGTGAAGGTTTATCAACTATGTATAAACAAAAAGTTTTGTACCCTTTGGGCAGAAGAAGTGGGGCCCAAAAGGGACAATAGAGCAATTTCTTAAAGTCCTGCTCTTCCTGTAGGTATAATTGGATTTTGCCCAAATTTGGTCTGAAGCGTATGTGAATGAGGAAAGGGTTATCAATTTTGTATAAATGGTGGGTTTCTGTCCACTGGGGTGGCAGAGCATGGACCTAAAAGGAATTATAGAGCAAATTCTTTAAAATCCTTTTCCTCCTGTAGAAATGATTGGATTTTGCTGAAATTTGATCAGAAGCATTCTTGGGTAAATGGTAATAAGTTCTATATAAACAGTGCATCAAGGCCTTCTTGGATGGAAGGGGTGTGTTCCAGTTGGGGAAATGTAAGTTCTTAAAAATCATTTTTCTTTACAAAAATATTATCCAAGTTTTGTCTGAAGCAAATTTTATGTTTGACCACAAGGGTGGGACCCAATTATTTTAGAACTTATTTGTCATATTTGAATTCTTTGTTAAATGACTGAATACCTGAATTAGCGAGGTGAGTGATGCAGACCCCTTGTACTTCTTGTTGTGTGTATCCAGCGGAGAATCACCAAGGAGTCCATTTCTTTGTTTTGATTTAAGAAATTCATAACACCGTAAATGAGGGATTCACTGAGAAGTCCGAGTTAATGATTATCATGTTCATCTTAAACTGTAAATTCTGTATCATATATATACATAGATATAAAAATTCAATCATTTCTTGTTGAATCCAGATAAATATTAACCAATGATACTTAATAATAATCAAGATAGAGAATATATTGGTATAAAGCATTTAAAGTGAAATATTTCATGTATCATACACAACATTTATAATGTCATTTTTCAACCAATTAGATTACTTCTAGTCAGTGTGTGCTCTCGGTAAAAATGAAACAACCCGATGTACTTATCCTTAAAATTTGATAAGTCATGGAAAGTAACTTAACATATAATAGCTATTTTAATCTCTGGTGATCTTAGGAAAAGTTTCACACACACTTGTATAAAAATAATGTCATTTTCTACTACATGTTCACCAGATGAGAATTGTGAAACACACTATGGGTGAAATAAATAAGGGTAAAGGACTTTTGTATTAGACAGCATGTTGTAGGAACTAGTTACATGTGTAGCCATCTTGTACAACATTCAGGTAAAATTACATTTACCTAGAAATGAATATGATGACAAATTTAACATATATATATATCGCTAAAACATTGATGGTCAATAGCCAGAGGTTATGCTTCAGCTTTTAACATGATTGAGTGTCAAATGGTGTTGGGTCACCAGTGTCCGACAACAAGAGTTTTCCTCAGGTATTCTTGTATCCTTCCACCATTAAGACTCCTCGAGCACTTGGGTCAACAAGAGTGATAAATATAGGAATATAAGGGGATATAACCTGTTTCAAGACTGTTCTAAAGATGATAAACTCTAAAGCGAAATTGCAAAAAAATTTCTGATCGGGACACAGCCGTTAGACGTGTGTCAAAATATCCAGGTTAAGATTAAAGCATACACTTAGACTGGACTGTTGAGTCAAACTGTATATGATTGATGTATACACACACCGTACAGCATCCACCTATAATAAACCTTTGTTGACATGGACTTGTGTAAACAAAATAAAGTAATAGATATTTCCTGAGCTTATCTACATGTCTTTATAGTTTTTTTATGGTAGGTAGTGTCACTGTACTATCTATAAAACAGTTGGTATCAGTGTAAGGATGTTATTCAGATCCTGGACAGTATCAATGATAAATCTACAACAGTCATAAGTCTGTTCCTGATAATAAGCCCACCCACATGTATTGTATTTTCATACAGATTACCAGCAAATATTTTATTATTTTCTTGTAATAATCCCTAGTAACCTGAGTCAGC